TCATTGGATGGTGCTAGTGTACAAGGCTTTGGTAGGCCTAGCTCCGGCATACTTATGCTCTCTTTTACGTAGATCAGATACCAAATATGCCTTACGGTCTTGTGATAAGTATCAGCTCATGGTGCCGAGAGTTTGGACCGAAAAAGGGAAACGGGCTTTTGGATTTGCTGCTCCCTCTTTGTGGAATAGTTTCCAAGCAGATTTTAAACTTACTGAATTATGCTCAGTTAAAGCTTTTTATTCCCTTATGGCTCTTAGGCAACAGGACTCTATTGGTCAGTGTAGGTGTTTTTAAATTGGTTGTATTGTTGATTATTGTATTTATGGTTTTGATTGTTTAAGTGTTTAATGTTTTTGATTTGTATTGAAACTTATGTATTGACGACATGTGTTGTTGACCTCTTGGCCAGGTCACCATTGTAAAAGAGATTGTGATCTCAATGGGTTTTTTACCTGGTTAAAAAGAGAAGTATGACCACTTGTCTAACACCGTGTACACAGGAGTGTACCTGTGCAACAGTTGGTTGGCACTCGTGTCACTCTGCATCCCACTGTGCATCTTCTGTGAATCCATTTATTTCCACAGGTCTGCTGCCAGGAAGAGCACAGATGTGTTGACCATTCAGTGAAAAACATGTGAAAGGAGTGAAAACTGTGGTGATGAGAGCAAGTTAGAGATAATTTGTTAGACAAATTCAACAGCTTCCTCTAGGTATGATATCACCTCTATAGCCACTGAATGTTTCTCTTGTACCAATGTACAGTGTTTCTCAGTTTCAACCATTTTAACAAAGATTCAAACAAAATGGAATCTTTTGAAAAGGGTGAATGAATTTTAAAAGTTTAATCTACAGTAGGTCAACCTCATCATCAGTGAGCCATGGGCATCCATGACCCTGTCTCCAGTTCACCATTTGTCCTTCCTTAGACACTGTTGGTAGGTACTAACCACTGCAGACCAACAACACCCACCAAGACCTGCAGAGTGGGAGATACTCTGACCCAGTCATCTCACCATCACAGTTTGGCCCTTGTCAAAGTCACTCAGATCCTTACGCTTGCCTGTTTTTCCTGCCTTCAGCACATCAGCATCAAGGAGTGAATGTTCACTAGCTGCCTAATCTACCCCACACACTGACAGGTGCCACTGTAATGAGATAATTACCACCAGCCAGTGGCCATAATGTTATGGCGGATCGGTGTAAGTGGGTGTGTGTTTGTGTAGTTTGAGAATTGCATTACAGATGGTCTAGTTTAGACAGGTCTAACTGTTTATCAAATTACAGCAGTGCACACACACATCTAAAATTTGTCAAATCACAGTTGTCCACTCTCTTGTATAATGGGCATTGTACTGTAAACATTAGCTGTCTATCAGCACAGCTCAGCATCATTCTGGATAACACTGGCACTGTGAGTGTTTGTTTGTGTGGATAGACATGTGTGTTTGTGTGCTATAATACATGCATTCATAAACAGCCAGTCCACTTCAACTGGATATTTCGAGCTAGACACAAATAGGCTGATTAACTGTGATAGATTTCAGCACTGTAGTGTGATTCTTTTTTCTTTTTCATCACTCTAACACCTTCCCCACTGATCATCCACTCCTGCTTTTTCTCTCCCTCTTTTCTTTTCCTCCTTAACACATAAACTCTCTTTACTGTAACTCCCACTAAAAGTATTACAAATTCAAGGTCAGTTTCTTGACACTAGGGAATGAGTTTCAAGAGAAGGATCCCATTACTCTTCAGCATGCAGATACATCAGTCACATACTGAGGTACATGACCTTCATGTTGCAGCCCACACAAGCCTTCTTCTGCCCATCATCTTTTGTATCCATGTGTTAAAAGTCACATTAGATCCCTGGTGGCTAGTGTGCAGCGATTCAGTGTACTCCTTGACCAGATGAATTTGCTTCTATTTTTATTATGTGAATTTTTAAAGGTGGGCAGTGGGAGTGGAAAGGTTAAAACAGTGGAGTCACAAGCAGAGTGTGCAGTGTTCAAGATGAGCTGGGTGCACTTTCACTTGACTGTGTTCATAATGTCTAGTGTATGTGTTGCTGAAAAAAATTAAAGCTGCTCGTATCGATATTTATAATAGAAATTGCCAAAATGGCTAAGTCAAATGTGAAAGATGTCTCTCATAGTGGCACACAGAGAATTATCACTCAACTCTGTTCTTTCTTTCAGCTTTATGGAACACTTTAGCATCTTTCAGCTCATTGTTTTGGTTGTGCAGCCCACAGCTTGCTTTGGTTCATCAGTCTTGTCAGCAGAAAACACAGTAGAGGATTTAGCAAATGAAGAGACACATAGTTTCCTCAGGACTTAGTGGAGACGCAATTGAGCTACAGTAAAAGAGAGTGAATATTTAACAGAAACACAACTCCAGATAAATGCTAATGTTGCTTCATGTCTGCTGGATGTGAAAATTCACAGCTGTTAGTTAAAATGGAATGAATCAACTAGGGCCAGTGTTGTGTTCACAGCTTGTTTTGCTGCTGACAAATGGCCAAAAAATCTGCTAAAGCAGGATTCAAGCTTTAAAAGTAAGTTAGAAAAAATCATGTTAGTGAGTGTGACTACTGATAATTAATGCCATTTATACTTTGTTTAGCAAGACAGCTTAGTTGGGAATGGTATTGGGACCTCCAGGAATTCTTGATGGAGCAATATTATGAATAGTTTAAGATGTTAGTTTAGTCTGTGGGGAGTTTTCCTACTTGCCTAAAGTGAAAAAAAAACAATTTGGATTTTTTTAATGTCACCACATTCAAGATGGTATGTTAAACAGCCTTTGGGAAGGTTTAACAGTGTATTTCCATTCATTTGTGAGAAGCTGGGACTTCACTGAGCCTAGACTAAACTCATTGCTCATTATTTTCTTAACTGTATGCAGGGAGATCAAAAAGACATCCACAAGTTTGTCTCTAAGTATGTGTGAGCAGGAAAAATACTGGTTTTAATCTCCTTTTATCTTCCTTTCAAGGATAATATCATCACCTCAGCTCACTGTTCTCCTCCTTACCTCTCCCTCCTGCTTCTCCTGCAGACAGCAATTTCATCCTGGCCAATGCTCAGGTGTCCAAAGGCTTCCCTATCGTCTACTGCTCAGATGGCTTCTGTGAGCTCACGGGCTTCTCCCGGGCGGAGGTCATGCAGAAGAGCTGTGCCTGTAAGTTCTTGTATGGGCCTGAGACAAGTGAAAGCATCATACTCAGCATTGATGATGCCTTGGAGGAGCGCAAGGAGTTTAAGGATGAGATTATGTTCTACAAAAAGACAGGTGAGGCTTGCGAAGTTAGCAGGACAGACGGTGTTATGTTTTAGTTGTATCTGAGTTGTTGGTTTAGTTGCTGTCATCTTTGTTCCCTTCATTTATCAGTTAATTTTGCTGCTCTTTTGTGTTCCTGCCCAGTCACATTACTATATAAAAAGAGATTCTGTGCTTTCCTCTACCATTTACCAATTACATGTTGACACCAGGGCAAGCAGAAGGCCATTAGAGAGTGCACAGACAGAGTGACATGGGACTTGGTCTGTATATTTCTATCAATGGATAGCAGCTCTCTGTGGCTATTTCTGTCAAAGGTCTATTTAAATTGGCATAGATAGACCAATGGATAGATGACGTAATGGTTGGAAAAATGCATGCATAACATTTTTATTGGCTCATTCTCATTAAAAAGTAATTAAACAGCAATTATTCACAAACGTTCCCCAGTTGTTATTTAACACTGAGACCCGTTAAAGTATAATAGCTGTCAGCTAGTGACTCCTTTACCCTGTTTCCTCCTGTTACACTAAGCCCAAAAGCTGCAGTGGCTGTGATGTGGCTGTTTTAGTGTGTGTCTTGCTGATTAGCCAGCTGGCCAGTGAACAAAATGGAGTCAAAAATAATGAGCACATCTAGGCATCAGTGGATCCATGCTTGCTGTGATGTGGGATGGAGACATGTGTCGCGGCATGGGTATTTATTTATTTATTTATTTTACTTTTATACTTCATATTCTTGTGTTTTGCAATAGTTTCAGTCATGTGAATCTAAAAACCATCTACAAGATTGTAGAGAATATTATTTTAAATAAGTGTGAGTGCATTTGTGTTTGATGTGCAGTTGTTCTTTCGCACAAAAAAAGAAATGAAATAACATAAATGTAAAAGGCTGGGATTAAAAGTTTATTCTTGACTTTGGAAACATTAAAAAAACAGTTTCATCACAAGCTGTTTCTAATAGCACTTCTGGAGCTTTTGATGGTATTATATAATCTTCCTCAGTAAATAGTTTTGCCAGTGGTCATAGAAATGCAGCTGTTCAAATATCCAGTTTTCCAACCATTTAAAAAGGCTTCTTGTGCCATGCTAGGTAAGAAACTGGGATTACTGATTTCAGACCTTGGAAACATTGATGAAATAGTGTCAGTACTAGTTCTATTTAAAAGCTATTCTACAGCTATTTTTTTTCCAGATCACACAAAAGGCAACTCTTGACCTTTTGACCATTCAGTCTCAGCTTTTGATCCAACATGGACAGGAAGTCTTTTAGGTGTTCAAAAAGATGGAAATTTAAACATTTTAAATTCCATAACCACTAGCCATACTTGCTGCCTCATAATCAAACGTTAGTAATTTAAGCAGACATAATTTTCAGCTGACACTGAGAGTGGTTGCTAAGAGCAATTAAATTAAGATATTTTATATTGATCAAAAGGACATATGAGCTGAAGAAAGAGTTGTCTCTGTCTTGTTCATGCTTGATGCCCTTTGTGTTCTCATAATGTAGCTAACAACCCTATTAATCTCTGATTGGTCACTTGGTTTTTATAAACAAGGAAGCAGCCATCAGTGGGCACAACAAGAGATCTTTGTGAACTCCATGTCACAGACTGAGATGTGAGCAGAGATTAAGTTGTCTGGAAGTGTGTGAGCAAACAGCATCATTCGATAAACACTCCAGAACAGCTATTAAATACAACTTGTGGTGATATTGTTTTGACAACAGCTGTAATGGCTGGTTATGACCCTGTATGGTCTTTTAAAATAACTTATACAGGTGTGATATTATGTGCCAGTGCCATTTCTGTATTGTTTATTTGAATAATTTATAAAGGAGACTTAGTGGGTAGCTCAGCGAAGTTTGTATAGAGACAGGTTTCTCCTAATCACATCAAAAAATGTGTCTGTCTACGTCACTCTGTTACTCGTTTGGTCATGTTTTCTGTCACCCCCCCCATTGTGAAACCATTTTATTTTCTCATATAATTGTGTGTTCCAGTTTCTCTCCCATGCTTGTCTCACTCTCCCTGCCTCAGCCTTTTTCTGTTGGCTCATCCTTCCTGATCTGTCTGTCACAGCAGAGTCTTGAAAGCAAACGTAGCTGATTGACTCAGTTTGTCCTCCATCTGTGTGCCTGAGAAAAGAGAGAGCTGCATGTCCGTAATCAGAAGCGCTTTTACTCTCACTATGTGCTTGATTGTGCTGCCTTGTTTCGCAGGCATGCAAATATTCATCACACACACACAGGCAAAAATAGTGTGACTGAGTCATCACCATAGCAAGAAAGATCTAGTGAGTGGGAGTGATATGAGGGAATTCCGTGGAAAATCCCACTTAATCAGCAGTTCATTTCTCACTGAATAGAAAAGAATGACAGTGAAACATAATCTCAGAGAAGTTGAAAACGTGAGCGATGCCCCTACATTTCATTAATACAGTTTCCTGGGGTCACTGCCATTTGTGTGCCACAGCATGATGTGGATTAGACTGAATTTGATGAGATTAATTGACAGCAATAAAATTAACACCACCAATATTAAACATCCCGAGATACTCAATGTAACTGGTATTCGTACAGTCCCTGAAGTTCCTTTAAAAATCTCAAAGCTGGTGCTTAAGGAGAGGCCATGCTTTTACCCAGACTGAAAAGATTGATCCCCTGTACAATGCCCTCCTTGGTACATCTCATTGCATGTTCTAAAATATTCCTTAAAGCAGAGGGAACTCAGAGTTTGGTGTTAATTATCTGTGGGCATAACACTGCAAGCAATAGCTTTACACAAACAGTCATTAGTTCTATTGTTAATGTAGAAATACTGATTATAGCAGCTTTATCTTCACCTGAAAAAACTGTGGTACATCAACGATCAGAATAATTTTATACTTGGGTTGTTTCTAAATCTCTCTTTTTACAGCTTTTTGATAAATCAAATTTATTAAATACAATAATGAACTTACACACACTAAAGCTGGTGCAGAATGCTCACAGCTGCTGATCCACAGTTCCTCTGAACAGTAATCTATTTAGCAGGAGATGGCACCTCAGAGATAGGTTCATCTCCTGCAGTGCCTGAGGCACAGGGACTGGGTCTATTTAAAGGCTCTGCTTCTCCCGAGGGACTTCCAGAGTGATAGGCTTAGATCTGCTTTCTAATAAGCCCGGGAATCTGTGGAACTGTTGCTCTATGCCCATATATACACATGGGTATACACACAAATTGTAAATCCATTTTGAGTGTATTCAAATATAGTGTTTAACAGTGTTAATAAGAGTGTTTCCCCCTTTCAGCAGTCCTGTTCTGGTGCCTGCTGGACATTGTACCAATTAAGAATGAAAAGGGAGATGTGGTGCTCTTTCTTGCTTCATTTAAGGACATCACTGACACCAAAGCCAAAGCCATCCCAGAGGACAAGAAGGAAGGTTAGTTTGTGTATTCATTTTGAACTGTAATCATTCACAGACAAGAAAGGGAAATATACAGTTATTATAACAAGCTATTTGTTTAGCATTTAGACTCTGTTAAGACTGTAACATGGTAAATAAAACAAGTCCTAAACTTACATTATAACACTAAACCTGTGTGACTGTCATGTGTAGAAGGTGAGTATAAGTTTTTTGAAACAAATTGTTGATGAGAATAATATACCATTACTTCATTTGTCCTTTAAGTTGTTTTTACATCTCACTTCAAGCCAGTAGTTAGGTTGATATCCATGCTCAGTAGAATAGAGTTGTAGTTCTTTTAAAGCCAACACAAACAGAAAACATCATTTCTATCCGGGTTAGAAGTAGGACAACATTTTTATACTCTATACAAGTTGTAACCAAATGGCTGCAAAGTGCAAAACATATGTATAAACTGGGGGTTAGGTTTAGCCAACAGAAACACTTGAAACAATGACTGATATAGATCTGTTAGAACTTTATCGTTGCCCTTCAAGTAGTCAATTATATTAATCATTTTAAATACAAGGAAGCAAAGTTACAAATTTCCTCTGTCAAAATCAATGCCCTCAAAGAATAACCTCAAGGGCAACAGTTAAGCTAAAGCCAAAAGCAACCTATAAAGCAGAATATACAGTCAATGTGTGTGTGTGTGTGTGAGACAGAGAACTACTGTATGTGTGTCTGTGAAGACAACACTGCCCTTTCTCATCTCAGGCCTGCCTCCCCTGGATTTGCCTAATTATTCTCATCACTGCAAATAAGGGAGAACAGGAAGCAGAAAGCAAAGTTATTTTTGTCCACATAATGAAAAGAAAGATGCTGATGCAGCATACCTTGAGACAGAGATGAACACCTCACTATAATGGGTTTGGGTCTGACAAGCTTGTTTAAATGAGAATATGCCTGGTAAGTCTCAGACGACATTTGCATTTTGGTGCTGTTGTCATTGCAGAAGTAGCAGGGGTGGGCTTGTTTTTGACACCTTGGATGTGATCCATTTACCCCTCTGTCCTCCACACTGACCAAACACTGTGTGAAAGGAGGGAAACCCAGTCTCTGGCACCAACAGTCTCTTCTCCTCACACGTTTTCTCTTCTCCTCACTTCCTCTTTTTTTTTCCTTATCTGTCATGAATGTTCACCTTCAGTAAAATCTCACTTCTTTGTAGCCTTCTGGTGTCTGCTCTTTCCTTGTCTCTCTCTCTCCATCACCTCTAGTTCTCATCTGTTCCAGCTGGTTACAGTATCTATTCATTCCCACCTCCCCTGCCTGCCCTACATGCTGTTTCCCTCCCCACTTATACTCCCCCTCTACCACCACATGACTGGCTATATAGTGGAGTGAAATTCATTACTGTAGATCTAAATATAGGCATGTCTCTGTGTCTGTGTTCCTGCCGTGTTGTGTCCCCAAAGGCTGCATCATGTTATGGATGGATCCTGTCTGTTCGCCTTATCTGGGGTCCATCCACACACTCCCAACACACCCCCGGAGAACACACACAATTTCCAAAGTTCCAAAAGACCCTCAGAAACAGTTATCACTTCTATTCTCCAACTTTGTTATTGCTGTTATCTCTCCACTAGCCAATCTGGCCTTTCTCCTTTCCTGTGGGTTCACAACAGTGAGAAAGGGGCTCAGAACCCAGCAGCAATAAAATGACTTCTCCCATTACCCAACTCCTCTGTCTGAGGAAATGATTCCTGCATTACCTTCTTTATCTACTACAACACACTTGGAACAAACTCATACACAAGTGCACCTGCAAGCACACACACAAACCAAACCCCAAAGCAATCTACAATAACAAATCTACCATACTGTACTTAAGTGACTCTAGGCCCCAGCAGTGACTTTTCAGAGCTGAAAATTGTTCTGTTTTGCTGGAGATAGTGTTTACACAGAAAGACATCATTATGTCTGCATAATGTAAATCAAAACAAGTAACAAATATTTGACATTTACAAAAGCATAAGTCATAAATGGTGCAGTTTGCTCAGAAATTACACATTCTTCCTCTTGCACATTCATGTTTCCTATTCAGGACAGAATATTGTGTATCTCATCAAGCATAATGACTGATTCAATCATCAGGAGTTAACATTGGGGGGTAGAGTATTGTAGGAGGATGTGTACTACAGTAACGTGTGTCTGTGTATGTGTGTGCGTGTGTGTTTACAGAGCGATGGCGCAGCAGGGTGAAAGCAGGCTCTCCCTTTAGCTCAACGCGTCTGCGGAGCAGTACAGTTCTCTATCACATCTCTGGTCACCTCCACAGCAGAGAGAAGAGCAAGATTAAACTTAACAAGGTATCATCCAGCGCCTCAAACAACAGGGTTGGATGTACTGAACAGTTAACTGGGTCCAGCACCGTATTAAATTGCATGTCATATAAATGTAATTAAATACAACTCAACTACTTAAGCAGCCAACTAATCACAGAAAAACTGTTTCACCACTTTTATGCTGTGTTTGAAAATGACAGAACTTTCTTTCTTGTTTAATAACAGTGCATTAATTGGGACTTTTTTTTGACAGCACATAAATGCAAGCTGGTGTCTGCTTTTACTCAGTTTTTTGTGTGCTGGCCTTATCCTGGTTTAGCCTTGCGTCAGTGTAGAATTTCTTCTCTGCATTTTGTTGTAAGACTCTGTTGTAGGATGGATTGTCAAAACAAGGTGGATGTAACAGGATGTTGCTACTGTTTCAGTTCTCTCATCTTATCCTGTCCAGAACGTGTTTGGGGATCCACCTGCTCTGCCCGAGTATAAGGTAGCAGATGCCAAGAAGTCCAAATTCATCTTACTTCACTATAGCACATTCAAGGCTGGTTGGGATTGGTTGATTCTGCTTGCCACGTTCTATGTTGCTGTGACGGTGCCCTACAACGTGTGTTTCATCGGGGATGATGATGACCTGACCCGCAGCACGACTGTTAGCGACATCGCAGTGGAAATACTTTTCATCATAGGTTAGCTGTGCAACTGGTGGGAGTTGAATGTTATTAGGATCTTTACTGAATGACAAAGCAAAAATAAATACATCAAAATAAAGTAAAATTTCCTGTACATGAGAACAAACTCTTCAGACATAGCTGCAGCATTTACAATGACAAAACTTCCAATGGTTTTTGTGTTTGTCTTTCTATTTCCCTGTCAGACATTGTTTTCAATTTTCGCACATCTTATGTCAGCAAGTCGGGCCAGGTGATCTTTGACGCTCGACAGATTTGCTTCCACTACCTGACCACGTGGTTCATTATCGATCTAGTGGCCGCTTTACCCTTTGACCTACTCTATGCCTTCAAAGTCAGTGTGGTGAGTAGTCCTTGGCTTGTTGCATTGTAAATTGTTAGTTTTTGTGTGTTACCCATGCTATTGACCTCCAGGAAATCTCTAATATAAACTACAGATTCTAACAATCAAAATAAAGCAATAGGTTCAAACAATATTCTGTGTTCAATACATTTCCCTGAAAAGATAAAAAAAATACAGAAAATTAACATGAAGCAGGAGAAAAAGGAGAAGGAAAGAAAGAACCTATAAGGGCATACATAAGCTAATAGATCATTAATTTGAATATCTATGACTGATGAACTGCCCAGTATCAGACCTAGTCTTTAATCCTGTCAACACAGTGGTGAATTATAAAGTACAACCTGTCTTCCACCCTTGACATTTCATAAGAACAGATCACATGTTGTGTTTCCAGTGTCTCGTTGATTTCACAGACTGTACAAGTTCTGAGAAAACAAGCGGCCCAGTATCATTAGAACATTTTTCTGTTCTGCTTGAGTCCTTAATAATAGCTGATTGGAGAAAGAAACAAAGATCTGGGGCAATTAGGTGGACCAGCTTCTGTTGTCTCTGACTGAATGATATCACCCAGTGGAAGCGTTAGTGAGGTTTTGGTCGCTTTTTAAGTTCTAGCTTCTAAAAAATTCCAGTATACAGTTGTGAATAGATCCACACAAACATCTTATGTTACATAGGCACAAGTGTTATCAAAGATGTAAAATAAATTAGCCCTGAGTATTAAAGAAAAATTGTGCAGAACAAGAAAAATCTAACTTGTGAGGCCCCATTTAAGTGGACTGTAGAAAATACATAGAGGCAGAAGAATCAAAGGAAAGTATGATGACAAATAAAACCAGTATAAAAGAAGAACTTTTGAAAAGAAAGCTGTGGAAAGAAAGACATTTAATGAAGAGGAGAAAACCAAGTAGAACGAGTAGTTATAAAAGAGAAAGAGTTAGGGGAGTGGGCAATAAACATGCTATGAAACAAAGTGTGAGTATAGATGTCTTATGTTTTATGAAGGGGAGGTGTAGGAGAAGGGCAACCACTGTGACAGGCTGCTCCAGGCAAAGATGCCTGGTTGGATCCAGATTCTATTAATGGAAATACCAGGCACTCCCAGTAGGTTGTGATTCTGGTGTAGTAGGGCTACTGGGCCATAAGTTCCTCCACTGCCGCAGGGAGAGCAGCAGTGGTCGGTAATTGCTGAGCTTCTACGTGATGTCTCCTCTAAGGAGCAAACATTCAGGCCGATGTCCTCATTGAGAAGCTGTCTTTCGCCAAAATTAGCCAAGGGGCCTCAGCAGTATCTGTGTCTGGTGCTCTCTTTTCTTTTTTTTCCTTTTTGTTGTATCTTCATCGTTTTTGCTTTTTTGGCTTGTTCTAGACTATGTCATTCAAGTAGTTTATTTAAGGGACAATGTTCCCTTAAAAATCATTGCTGTAAAAGGCTATTTCTCTTCTGTAGTCCCTGGACAGATGTTACATGGATGCACCTAAAGAGAAAACAAGTGCTCCCATTTTCCTTTGATATTTTTTTTCTTGTATTTCTTGATAGTTTATTACATAAACTGCACTTCTTTTACTTTCTTTACTTTTTTTAATTGTTGTTGTGTTGTTGTGACATACTTATATCTTCTTTGCTTCCTTCATGATCATCCCCTCGATACTTGACTATTACAGTAACTGATTCTCAGGTTACTTCATTTTTGTGTTTAAACTGCTGTGCATTTTAAAAGGTCCCACCAAAATGGGTGAAAGGCTTTCCCTTGGAGGAAAAATGGTTATTGTTCAAAAGGAAACAAAAGTCACTAAACATGAATTGTGGCTTTGTTTTCTGTCAAGGCTATTTTAAGATACTAAAGCTATTGTTCAGAAGCAACACAGAACAACAAAAATACTGTATAGTGCTGAAAAACTACTTCAGCTCCATCTACTGTATATATTGTTACTGACATTCACTGCACTTCTTATTCACTTCTAAAATATAGATTGTGCTAAACTAAACTAGCTGGTCTCTTTCATATTTTGAAGAAGTTGATATGAACATTTATCTTAATTTGTTACTTAACTTTTTTTTACTTTATTGCTACAGTTATTATTAAAACTCATATGAATACATCTCCTTGGCCTGGAGGCATAGTTTCATATTAGAGAACAGTGCTGTTTGTGCTAATTGAGCCAGTGCTGATGCATTAATAAACATGACCACTCACACCACTGTGATTGGCTTGTAGAACTAAAGGAGTGGCGGGACGGGAAGAAATAATGAACATTTTTGTAAAGTTATTGTCCCATGGGCACAAATACTGCCTTTAAAAGCAGAAGAAAAGTAAGCAGTCAGGTAGATAAATATAAATTTCACATCTAATGAGCGGAGAAAATGAAAATGTGAATGGCAGGAGTGAGAGGGAAGTGGAAGAGGGAAAGGCTGAAGGAGAAAGTGGCAGGAGGTGTATATGCATTGTCAAGTATATCAAATTGCTTACTGCTCATGCCGCTGGAGGAGAGTTAGATGTGGCACAGTCTGCACTCTCCATAGGTGTGATCCAAGGTGGTGATGGATGTTGGAGAGGAGTTGGAGCTTCTTCCCTGGGGTTGGTAGGAGGCTTCATTGCCCCTTATGCTGCACCAGTTCTCTATTTCTCTCAGCAAGATTTGGCAAAAACTGCCATAAAACATATTGGAAACACATGCAGGAACAGCTCCGATAAGGACTCTACACACATCTCCTCACACAGCTTCTGAAAAGCATGTTGATTATGTACTTCTATCTAGTCTGTCTCACTCACTCACACACACATTTGTCCAGCTATCTGTGTGACGTTACTCAGCGTTATAACACATTCACTAGTCCCTCAATCTAACTTTAACCATTATAACTAAATGCCTAACCCCAGCCGAAACATTGTTTTAAGATGAACCCTAAAACCAAGATTAACTCTCAAACAGCCCTTTGAAGGGTTGTGAGGACCACACAAAATGTCCTCACATTCCCAAAATGTCCTCACGCCCAAACTAGTCCAAGGAGTGGGTTCACCCCAAGTCTCTTATATGCATCTACTGTAAATGTCCCTCCCATATAAGATTTGAGAAAAAGATGCAGATGTGAGGAAAGAGAAATATGTTTTTAGTGACAATGAGATGTCCTTTCCTCCTTCTTTCATTTGAAGCATTTAAACACCAAGTGATTTTAGATAAAGGGACGTCGGTCCATAGAACACTTCTGCAAGGGATGGTCTCGTGTATCCTTTCTCATGTCTCCTCCAACAGCCTCCTCACGCCTCGATCCTCCTTCCTCAGAACAGATATAGTGTACATCTCATGTCTCTTATAATTTACTACAGATTAACTCAGGACCTTGGATGTTTCAAGTCTCTTGTAACGGCTCTGAGGAGTGAGGAATGAGAAGGCTGCTGGAGGAGTCATGACCACAGACACACAAGACCATCCTCCACATGAAATGACATGCCCCTTTATCACAAATCAGTTGGTGATTGGACACTTCAGATGAAGAATCTGAGGAAAGGGCATCTCATGTCACTAATAACATGTTTCCTTGAGTCCTCTCTCCTCACATTTTCCTTGCTTCTTAGCTGAGTGGGATTAAGACACAAGGAAAAGACACAATGGTGGAAAAGACTGTGTTTATAAGAGATTTGGGATATACCCATAACATCTTGGGATGCCCTTGATCCTTGATAAACTGAAACAACTTCTGAGGCCAATTGAAGATTGAAGAGCAAGGAATAATTATATAAGAGATCTGAGATGTGCCCATTGCATTTCCATAGAAGTACACACACCAGACAAATGCATATCCAACATACAACCTCATAAAAAGCTTACAAAATCATCCTTGTCATATATTTTTCTAAATAATAATTAGCATCTATGTGTGTGTGCATGTGTATTCACATTTCCAATGGGGCTACATGACAGCAAGCCCCAAATGACTGTTGGTGAAGATTGCCTGAGGAGCAGGTGCACAATGGATGACATTCACATTACATCTACAGCACACAATGTGGAAAAGACATGAAGGCGAACCTGACACTGTGTAAGTCAGCAGAGGGAAACCGAATGCATGTGGCAAAAGTACTGTAATTTATGAAGGACTGAGGGAGCGAAAGAACAAACAATGGAAAGAAGAGGAGTGGAGGTTAAAAAACAACAAAACAAACACACCTGCAGCAAGAGTCTGATTACTCTAATTGGTATTTTTATAATCAAGGATCCACCAAAAAATCTCCGCATAGCTTCCCATAGCATGTTGTTGCATTTGTCAAGTTCTAATTATAGAATATGAGAGCATTTGAAAGGTTTGCAATGTTGAAGAGGGCAAAAAGCACAGTTAAGAGCTTTTTGTCACTTCAAGCGGTGCTGTGAATGGAATTGTGTATCAGCCTGTTTGTGTATTTAGCTGGTTTATCATACTGTACTTCCCTTGAGATTTACAGTGTGTAAAATAGAGATCACTGCAGCCTGTCCCCTAGTTTCATAGCTTCTGTTTGGCTTTCACCAGAATGCCAAAACATCTTAACAAAAGAAAAAGAGATGGAGTACAGTAGCTGTGGTGCTTGATCACTTCTTAGCAAGGTATGAAATACATGTTGCCTTCAGAAGCCATAAATGTGGAGAGGTAGCAACGGTATAGTGTTGAAACACAGTAATGACACAAGTGTGTGTTTTGATAGTATGTGTACATGGTGCCAATTCCAATTTAGGTTTAGGACATGTTAGCTGTGATGTTTACAGTCTGCAGGAAATGCCCCTTATGACAAACCCTGTGGGAAATTCATAAATTTGCTATCTGCATCCTGATAAATCAACTCACCTTAGGTGACTCATCTTTATCCCTAGGTGTCTGTGGTCCACCTGTTAAAAACGGTGCGTCTGCTTCGTTTGCTGCGGCTGCTCCAGAAGATGGACCGCTACTCCCAGCACAGCACGGTGGTCCTCACTCTGCTTATGTCCATGTTTGCCCTGCTCGCCCACTGGATGGCATGCATCTGGTACGTCATCGGCAAGATGGAGATGGAGGCCAACACCTACAGTTGGGATATTGGTGAGTAAAGGAAAAATCATGTCGAATATTAAATCCAATGGCAAAGGAGCTCCCAGCCCCCTTGCTGTTGATGTTTTACATTGAGATTATGTCTTTTTATCTTGACACTGAACTTGCTGATTCACCACAAACCATAACACATTATAACATGGTGGAGATTCATATTTTTTTTAATAAAATACTTTGATATTTTCAGATGACCTCTGAGTGTTCAAGGCTTCTCTCTGTGAAAACAATGCAGTTTGAAAAGGGTCGTGACTACTAAGGTTTGCAAAAAATGCAAGATATATTCAACAAGCAAGGACACCATGAAAACCTCAGACGTAAAGGAAATACAAAAAAGGGTGACCCTAAATAACTACCACCTGACTTGTGGACTGAGGTTTTAGATGAGTAAAAACGAAAACTTCTGCAGCACATCGAAGTGGTACACAACTGTGGCCATTAGAGAATGAACAGTGTGTACAGACAGTGCTGTTGGTGCTGTGATGTAATGGTTGTGTATTTTGGTTTGGGTTGAGCAGTGAGGCCAGAAGAAGCGTTTTCATTTCATTTACATTTTTCTAGCAGAAGAAGACATTACCCAGCTTTGTCAAGCTCTGCATTGAATCAATATAAAGGGAACATTGGGTTCTTGTAAGCAAAAATCTGTGAAATAAATGGTTCGGCCTGTGGCTCAGAAAAAAGACCATAAAGATGAAATGGTTTGGTTATGATCATCTGGCATCAATAAATGAAGTCAATGTTTTGATTACATAAATTCCACATGTTCAGTATTTTGTGTAGGAGACTTCATTTCCTCTCTTTTTTTCTGCTCTTAGCTTTTTGAGTTTTCTCAGCTGTCACATTATATATGGGGCCACTAAACATGTCAATATGCTGGTGCTGTTTAGCTTCTTTGCTCAGTATTTCCATAATAAAAAGCCATTTTTTTCAGGAAATAGGATCTGATATTGACCCATAGAGATGTTTTCATCATTGTCCTCATTGTTTTAACCATTTGCCCTTTAGCCAGTGTTAAGAGATTGCAGTAACACCACAGTAGAGCCGCTGCCCAGCTCAAAACACATCACATGTAGGTGTGTTTGAAACACATACAGTAATATTAAATTGAGAGGTCCTTGCCAATAATTACAGTGCATTATGGACTCATCATGCTGTTGCTGTTTATTATGGAGTAGGTGTTTGCAGTACTGCAAGCTCGTTACACTAACCTGTTTTAGCAGCAAAATGAAGTTAATGAGTTCCATATCAACTGTTGTAAAATATGTACTAAATGGAAAATGCAAGAGCAACTGCCTCAGTTGTGTGTGTACTTGTGTAACTATAGGTTGTGAGAACCAGACTAGGGTTTATTTTGAGGTATTTTGGTTACGTGAGGACATTTTGGTCACTTGTTGATGTACCTTCAAAGACCTGTTTGACAGTTAAGACTTGGTTTTATGGTTCAGGTTTAGGTTAGGGTAAGGTTAAGGGTTGGGGTTACTTATTCAGTTGTGTGTGTGTGTGTGTGTCTGTCTGTATTCAAGTGCTTTGTGTGAGTTTAAAAATTGACGGAGCCAGTGGTTTGATTTTTCCCATTATTAATGAGGAAGCGCTCTGGCTTCCCCCTTAGCCTCCAGGTCCCTCATATAATAAGGCCCACTGGGCTGATCTGTGGTCAGTATCAGTGAGCTGCACTGCCTGTGTCTTCCTAACTGGTTCCGGGTCAGCATTGATCAGATCATGAAAATGATTCAGAATTCTCTTCACCAATTACTGCATTTCAGTGTCATAAAATAACCAGTACATAAGCCAGGATTAATGTGTTGTGTCCTAATTATTCGTTTCTGATGCTGAACTGAGTGTTGAAGGCAGGGAGCTATAGGACCTCTATCCAATTACCATTCATCAGTGTCTGCAGGAGACTCTCCTGGGATCAGCTGTATGTCGCCACGCTGTACTGACCAGGGATCAGATACCTCCACTGTTAACCCTATGATTAACCCTACCCTATTCATTGTTCTGGATGCAGTGTGAAGGAGAATGTCCAGAACCCAGTGGTGTCATCTTTGTCTGTATCTACTCTACATGCTTCATTACACAACTTTTCAGACAATGATTGCAACTCTTTGTATTAAAGAATCTATAGAGTCTGTGGAATTGTATTATGCATTTGTGGGGATAACATCTAGTTCCTTAGGAATATAAGAAGAATAAATATGTGACTATTCAATGTTTTGTAATAGATTTCCTTTGATTCCTTTAATATTTACTGCAGATATTGTTCATAATATACAGTATATGGTTTCTTCTTTTGTCTCTTAATGATCATGCTGTTATGACAGATGATATTTGCTTGGAAAACACAATCAAAGTGCATTTTTGCTAGCTTTAACTATCCATTTGTCATCCATCCATCAATAACCCCACTTTCACCATTTCAATCCAGGATGGCTTCATGAACTAGGAAAACGTCTGGAGTCACCGTACTATGCCATAGGAGGCATGAATGGAACCGGCAGCAGCCTGTCCATCCGGAGCATCTATATCGCATCACTCTACTTCACCCTCAGCAGTCTGACCAGTGTGGGCTTCGGCAACGTGTCAGCCAACACTGATGCAGAAAAGATCTTTTCTATTTGTGTCATGCTCATAGGAGGTAAAGAGACCACGCACATCAGTGATCACATGCACATAATGTAGTTTAAAAAGCGTATTTTTAAAGATCATATTGCAGGACTTTGATTTATTTATGCCTGAACACTCCCTTTGTCTCACACTGGATCAGATTTAGACTACAGTATGTAGAATTGTAACATACTGTCAGTTTATTTTCCACCTAATACTAATCCTGCATATCTTTGTTTAAAGATTCTATAGTGATAAAAATAAATAAATAGATAAATAAAAAACTCTGATATTTCTGTCTTGTCCTGTCACTTTGGGTGCATAAAGGACAAGTGTGGCTCTGGCCATACAAAACATACCCATTCGCATTTGCATGCAGCTTCATTACAATCCAGTGGCATATTAAACAGATCTTAACAGGCTGTTAAACTGGATCCTAGGTTTGGTTTTCAGGGATGCAGAGATCACCGTGCAGAGTTTTCCCTATGGACACTCCCTTCTCTGGTTCAGTTGAATGTTAAATGTCTCTGGCTGCCTGAGGGCAGTAGCAGTCACATACACCACACACACCCACATACTGTCCCTTGAAAACTAAAGCAAAAGACCAGTTCGTATTTATTTCAGACTTTAGATCAATGTGGTGAATTTGTGGAAGAAATTGGATTATTTACTTATTAGAATGAACTGATAAGATTCATGCTTGACCATATTTACAAGATAGAAATATTTAATATGATGAATAAAAAGGTAGATTTTTGTTATTGCTGCAGGGATTTAATCAATCAAATGTGAAGACCATCATACAGCCTGTAAGCAGTTGCAAATCATAACTAAAACAAGTACAAATGTGTCTTATTTCTTTGAAAATGGTACTTTGCTTAAATGTACACTCACCGGCGACTTTATTAGGCACAGCTGTACAGTTGTGTCCAATTCAATACAACAATCTTAACATCTGTGTTTATGAAACTCAAAATGTTTCAGTTTTTGGTGAAAATTAAATTATATTTTTATTATTAAGATCATAGTTAAAGGTGGTGTTGTACTGAACTGCATTATAATCAGAGGTGTTCCTAATATTCTGACCCTCTCATGTATGTAGCTGGAAAGGACAAAAATATAGAGGCACAGCAATGTGGCTACTAATATAGAGCAGGGCCATGTATGGTTTTGCAGAGGTCTACTGGCTTGTGAAGATATGGAAGGACAAACCATGACTGCTTTTTGCTGTGCCTCTAAATGCACCAGTGACCTGATGAGAGCAGGCAGGTGGTCCCAGTGCTTATCCCAGTCATCCTCTTAATGATGAACTGCTCCACAATGTTACTGAAGCAACCTGTGTTGCATCCCTTCCTACATGTTGACACTGTCAGCATTACAGTGAGATATACAAACACTGTTCTCTGCTGGCACCAAGCATCTGCCATTAAAATAGCAATCCAAATTGTTTTCTAATTTGGTTCCCTATCTTAACAATCCATTGTCATTGGGCAGCACGGTGGCGCAGTGGTTAGCACCATTGCCTCACAGCAAGAAGGCCCCACCTGGGACCCTTTCTGTGTGGAGTTTGCATGTTCTCCCCGTGCTTGTGTGGGTTCTCTCCGGGTACTCCGGCTTCCTCCCACAGTCCAAAGACATGCAGCTTAGGTTGATTGGTGTCTCTAAATTGCCCATAGGAGTGCGTGTGCATGTGTGTGTGTGGTTGTTCGTCTATGTGTTAGCCCTGCGATGGATTGGCGACCTGTCCAGGGTGTACCCTGCCTTCGCCTGATTGCTGGCCGGGATTGGCTCCGGCCCCCCCTGTGACCCCGTTCAGGGATTAAGCGGTAGAAGATGAATGAATGAATGTCAGTTACATCTATTTCGTTCTTTTTCTTTCATGCTCATACTCGCTATATGAACTCTCCTTCTCCTCCTCCTCTTCTGACCTGCAGCTCTGATGCATGCCTTGGTCTTTGGTAATGTGACAGCCATTATCCAGAGGATGTACTCACGCTGGTCCCAGTACCACACCAGAACCAAAGACCTTAAGGACTTCATACGTGTCCACCATCTGCCACAAAGCCTCAAGCAGCGAATGCTGGAGTACTTTCAGACAACCTGGTCAGTCAACAACGGCATCGACTGTAACGAGGTACAAAACGATAACATTCTGATTCAGATTGGAGCGCGTCTGTGTGAAAACTAATTCCACTAGTACATATCCACACACTGTAATCTGGTAGCAGACCATATCCTCCTTTTTCACTTAACTTACATTTTTGACATCCAGCAGCATAGCCTACAGGAAGGATCACACTCTTCTCACATTAGAGACTCAGAATAATAATATGATCGATATTACATGAGCCTCCTCCATGTAGGAGTATATTGTTTTTCTCAGCACTGACAGGACAGAATTCAAGTATGAAAGATTAAGATGCAGTGGACAAAGACATCGCTTTTCTGCCTTACATGGTCATTAGTGCATGACAGGATATTTTGTAACCTTGAGATTTTGGGCTTTATACACTTGCAGACCCATCGTTTAGCTGATGTCAGACTCCTTTTATGTGGCAAGTATAAGAAATGTACCGAAATTTGAGATGTGAGGAATCTAAATGACATGATTGTAGGAGCATAAAACAGGGACAACAGGAAATCACACTTAGTTTGAGGTAGTGGTAGAAAATAACTGATTATATTCACTCAAACACTCTACTTAAGTAGATTTTTAAGGTGTTTGTGCTTTCCTTGAGTATTATATTCCACTTACTGCTACAGTATACGTCTACCTTAATATATTTCAAAGAAAAACATTGTACTTTTTACTTCATTTATTTGATAGCATTGGTTTTTAATTACTTTGTGAATTACAAAATTCAAAAATGACATTGAACTTGAGTAATAGAGTTTTATTATACTCTTGCTACTTTTACTTAGAGTTTGGAATTTAAGCTTATGTTACAGTGGCATCTAGTTCAGGTTGTGCCAGACAGAAAAGTCTTCTAAATGCTAGAGATCAAAAAACATAAACTGAAAAATGGAGACAGGTGGAAAATTAATGAAGTTTGCAAATGTGGCATGGGTTGCTTAGATAAAACTGAAATAGAAAAAGAAGGGTTAAGAGCACCTTTAGACAAGTCTGGGGAAACGGAGGCAACCATCAGTAGTCTAATGGAAGCTTGGCCATCTAGGTTGTGAATTCCTGAAAGTCAGCTGTGAGAGGCCAGACCAGCGCTTAGATGGAGTGATGAAGATGAACTTCAAACAGATGAACTATAGATAGGTGTGTTGATTAAAGGCAGCGTGGTTCCAATGACTCGTTGATGGACTCTATACTCTATGTGATGGTGAGCTCCAGATCTTTGTCCTGATAAGGAGACAGACAGATAGATGTTATGCTGTGGTTTTTGTTTCTTGAACGGTGATAGGGATGTTTATGTTGTGGTTAGCAACTGTGTATATTGTGTTAATTTACAGTAGTATATGAGTTGTATTAGTGATTTTTCAAATTAGGCAGATAGCTCCTGACTGGAATTTAAACCATGTATATAAAATAATGCTCTGAAATGCTGTGGAGGAGGTTTTTCTTCTGCTTCAAGGCTCTAAGTACAGAGTGTGTCTGTATGTTGCACAGACTGTAAAATCCTCTGAGGCAAGATATTGCTTTTGGGCTAAATAAACTTGACTTGACGTTAATGTTTCCTGTGGTACAATAGCTTAGGAATCAAACCAAAGGAAACCAATTTAAAAAACTGAGTTGCACCATGGGATAGTTTCACAGCTCTCATGCTCTTCTCATTGCTTCCTGCCTCCTCTTTGTCCCTGTCTCTGTCACATTCTCCCTTCCATCATCTCTACAGCTGCTAAAGGACTTTCCAGACGAGCTGCGTTCCGACATCACCATGCACCTTAACAAGGAGATCCTGGAGCTGTCGCTGTTTGCCTCTGCCAGTCGTGGCTGCTTGCGCTCCCTGTCTCTGCACATCAAGACCTCATTCTGCGCTCCTGGAGAGTACCTCCTCCGACAGGGCGATGCACTCCAGGCCATTTTTTTTGTCTGTTCAGGATCCATGGAGGTGCTGAAAGATGGCATGGTGCTGGCTATCCTGGGTAAGACAAAGGGATGGGGAGGCGGTTGTTGGTTAGACAGAGCAATAATCCTTTTGTGCTATAATTATAGTTTTACAAAGAAACTCCCAACAGCAAGTTTCATAATAAAGCTCCACATGGCTCACTGTGATAAAACTTTGCCCTGTAAATGAGCTCATTGTTTAGATACAGGAGAATTACAATGTCCTAAAGGCTACAACTAATTCTCAGAGCCTATTATCAACTCTAGTTAGATGTCATTTTTCAACAATAAGTTCTAGCAGTAAAAGCCTAAGAAGGACTTATCTGTTACGTATACAAAATGGGGGAGCTGGGTTCTAAATTTCCAAAGCTTTACTTAATATTGGGCAATATAACGCTGTAAATAGTTACTGTGTAGTTCAGTGAAAGTGAGCAGCCCTAATGGGACATAAACATTCAGCCACTTGTATATCACTACTTGTATACCACACATCAAAGTATGATGTGGATCCAAGTAATATTCTAGATCTGCTGATCCAGACTGTTCACATTTATAGGGCTCACAGAAGACTACTACTGTGGCACAACAAATAATGCTACAGACTGCACCTAACAACAAACTGTAGCTGAAACTCTGCTGATTCAGTAGAAGGTCAACAGATTAGATGTAAGGATCAAATTGTCATGGGAATGTTGCTTTTAAGGGATTATTTCAGGCAATGTGTCGGGTCTCTCCATTCAAAGCCAGGGACCAACCCCGAGCTGCATAATTTCAGTCCCCCAATGGAAACAAACCATGATAAGCAATAAAACAGGTGACATGTTGAACATAATCATAAAATAAAGATGATCCTGTCCTGGCCGACCAGACCCTGTTAAGCGGTTCTAGAAATCCCCAGTGATGACCTCGTCTTGTTGCAGTACTTGTAATTCAGAGTGGAAATATCACCTATACACTCCCCGACTTTATTACTTATTGGCTGGTTAAAATGACAATCGCCACCACCTCATGCCCCATTTTTCATTTTTTTACACCTCCCTCCTTTTTCAAATTTTACTTACTGTCTAGTTACAATATCAGCTGGCAACATTGCTCCCTGTGCATCCTGCAAAAGAAAAAGAATCATGTAAAAAGGTACATTTCAGTGGTGAGATAATCCTAAATCAGGTGTAGTGACACTAAAACAGAAATTGGCTACTCATTATTGAGGGAATGAAATTCAAACATTTTCAAAAGCTACATTTCATCTCATACTAAGAAAGATATTTGGGTGTCTTTATTCATTGAACATGACAACAAACGTACTATTAATTTAGCAGGAATCATGTGTTCAAGTTCTAATGAAAGGGTAAATACATAAAATTGTATTAAAAAGCACATAAAAGAAAAAACTGCTTGTTCAAAAGTAATGATAAAAGATAGAAGCCATCGCAACCATTGACAGACCACGTCCGGAGTATGAACTGACCCAGATGGAACAACAGATGTTTAATCCACAGGAGGTGGAAGGTGTACATGGTATTCATATGACTAATGTCTCCTTAGAACCCTGAGCTAATTGAAACCAAATGGTTATTTTTAAAAGTGCTGTCAAAAGTGTACAATTACCAAAGTCCATGGGCAGCTGAGTAAAAATCAAGACAAAGGGCAGAGCCACCTTTTCTCCACTGTTTCGTGACCCATTACATGGGACTGTGTAAAAATATTTCAGCAGCTATCCAATAATCTTCTTTATATGCATTTTGGCAACTCAATATACTGTATATCGGCAGAAGTATTCTTCTGGTGCCTTTCTAGTTATTACTGCTCTCATCTTAACAGAAAAGCTACTTGCAAAGTTGTTTTGGAATTCATTCAGTGCAGCTTAGGAGGACAGATGATTGCTTTCTCTTGTTGCCATCAAACCTTTGCTTCACTACATCTGCTCAAATTTGCACCTGCTTTTGAGTGCTGGAGAATTTTCCTCTCAAAATTGATGTTCATGAATTATGAAATTAAAAAATCACCATGGGTATCATGGTGGTATAATCATATTTTTGTATGCAGAATAGATCTAAAACAAGATGCAAACAAGCGTCACTCTTTGTATTACCACACACACCTGCTGTGTGACACAACATTTTGCCCTGGGTGACCTTAATGGCTTCTGCTGTCTGGCCTTCATGAGACAGAGTTATAGACCAATCTGCCACAAATATGTGTGTGCCGGAAAAGTGCATTGTAATTGTGTGGGTGAGTCAATAAGAGAAAGCGAGTTAAAGATCTGAATCTGAGCCCTCATCCATCTGTTTGTTTCTGTTGGTGCTTTACTTACAATCTTTATCTTGATCTTTGTGTTTGTGGTGTGTGCATGTGTTTGCTTACCTGTTGTTTGACTGGATACCTGCTTGTGAGTGTTTGTAACAAGTAGGTGGAATTGTTTACTGGTGCACAGAATGGCATTTATTTGTTTGTGTGGGTGGGTCCATATGTGTGTGTAGGCTTGACAGGCGGAGAGCATTCTCTCTGGACTTGCCTGCTGACTGTGCAGAAGGTCAGGCTGACAGTGAGTGTCTGACTGAAGGAGGAAAAAGCTTCTCTCACTGTTCCACTTTCTCTTTGTGTTCACCCTCTTCCTTGTCACACTAGTCCATAGTCGGCGCTCAGTATCGTATAATAGAAAGTGGGCAAAAGCAAGAGGCTGTGTTGATAGACATAAAACAGAGGGAATGAGAAGATGAAGCCAAAGTAAGGTTGATGGAGTGAGGAAAGAGAGATCATTTTTGTGCAAATATCAGGGGTGCTGGACTAAGGGAAGACAGAGATTGAAAGGGGAACGCTAAGGAGAAAAGCAGAGGCAGATAAAGGAAGCAAATAACAGAGTGTTCAGGAATGGATGAGAGGAAGCAGTAAGAAAAAGGAGGAAATTGAAATCATTTCATAGAATACAACTGAGCTAAGATAAGATGAGGTAGAGAAGAAAAAGAAGGAAGGCAAGAAACAAAACTTGTAGGGTAAAAATGAGGGACAGCAAAAAGGAAGGAAAGAAGGAAGGAGGGATGGAAGGACAGAAGATCGGATGGGAAAACAGAAAATATGGCAGAACTAAGGAAAAACAGAACAAAATATAGAGGAAAGATATAAAGAACAATGCAGGCAGAACAAGGGGAAACAAGGAAATAATTAAATCAGTGAAGAAGGAAGGAAACAAGCAAGGAAGCAAGGTAACAAAGATAGGGAAGTTAGAAGAAATACAGGCAGGGAAGCAGTCATGAGAAAAGAGGGGACAGTGACAAAGGGTTTTGATATAGCAGGAGTGGCAATCTTGAAACAGAGAGAGCAAAATACAGAGGAAGGGAGAGAAATAATGACTAAGGTGAGAAGGAATGGGGGGATAAGTACAGTCACGACTGCTACTCCATCAGCTGTGGTGAAAATGAACAGTGTTCACAGTTCACAATGACCATAATGAAAATTTTAATGCTGCTTAAGGGGCATTAACACAGAGTACTTAGCTTGGTCCAGTATGTGACAAAAGAGAGTGAGCACAAAATATCACTACTGCTTCACTTAAATGCTAAAATTTGCTAAAAGTAGTATGAAAATATCTTATAAATAAACACTGATATACTTTCTTGACCCTGTCAGACTTGAGGTTTATAGTTTCTGCTCATTAAACTTCTCACTTTTTGTTTGAAATAGTTATTGCATTCACAAATGACTGGCATTTTAAATTTAACACAGTCTGACAAGCACGTGGTGTTTATTTCCAGCTGACTTGCTGCCTAGATGAACAGAGCTGCCAACAGCTGCCAAATTTCAGTGATGTTAAATGATGGTTGAATGACGGTTTTGATGCCAACTTAGTTTCCCGGTGCTGGTTAGTTTTAGTTGTGGCTTCCTGGTCCTAGTACAAACAAATAGACTCACATCAGGAATATGGCAACACTTCCAACTCACTTTCAAACATAGTGGTCAGAGGAAAACTAAAAGACATTAATGTTAACATTAACATTTATTAGTGCATTTTGGAACTGTGTTAAGACATTAATAAAAAGAAAAAAGATGTTATGGGTTGCCAGGTTCAAGCATGACACTGTCTTTTTAGGCTTTTGGTTTATCAATGGATCATTTGACAAATGACTTTCTGGAGATGAAATGAAACACATCTGAACCCAAATCCAGCCATTCAGAATTTAGTAACATTTACGGCTTCAGTCTTGGTGGATTATTGTAAGAAACTTTTGTTCAAAATAGTGAATTTACTCATTTTTACTGCTGGCTTATTAGAAAGTGACACATTCCTTACTTTCTTAACAGTTTTTAAATGTGTTATTTTGTAATAACTCTTGTATTAACACTAATCTAGTTGCTTCATACTGCACCAAAGCCTCTCACTCTCATCCACTCCAACCCAGTTTCTCCCTCATAACCTCTTCAGTAAATGGAGATCTAAAATATGTTGCAGTCTGCATTAGAGACTCAGATGTAAGCTTTTACATGCATGTAAACCTTATACTATGACACCTTTTCTGACCTACCGTGTCCATATATCTCTCTGAGCAGGTAAAGGAGACCTAATCGGGGCAAACCTGTCCTTAGATGACCGGGTGATAAAAACCAATGCGGATGTGAAAGCCCTGACCTACTGTGACCTGCAGTGTATCAACCTGCGGGGGTTGTATGAGGTATTGGACCTATACCCTGAATACTCCCACCACTTTGTCCAGGACATCCAGCAGGACCTCACATACAACCTAAGGGAGGGACACGAGACACACGTGAGTCCACCACAGTGGTTTTAATGTCCCACTCCACAAAAACTGTGTTTTTCTTTACAGTTCTTTTGGCTGTTTGAGCTTCACTAAAGGTATGAGCAGAATTTGATTCATCTGATAAAGGATCAAAGTTTGTCCTCACCTTAAACATGAGTTTCACATGTGCACATGATGATGACAGCTAGTTTGATGTGGAAATCTGAATCCTGCACATACATTGGAAATTGAAGAAATTTTCAGAGACCAAGATCCTGATTTCATTACGTTATAACTAAAAACTGATTTTTCAAAAACCTATTTTGACCTTGATTACAGTAAAGGTCCACACACTCAGCTGCTAAATGTTTTCTGTCGCAAGGGAACAAAAATCATTGTAGTCTTCATGAATGAAGGCCACTTGTGTTGTTGACCAATAAATAGGAAACAAAAGAGTGAACAATAAAAGATTGAAATAAACTGTTTTTGCTTCAGATTCTAAAATCAGTTTTCTAAAATCAGTTTTCTATTTTTAATCACCAATTTTTATCTGACATTGTTTTAATCATCTAAATAAACCCCTTTAATGTTAAAATGTTTTTTAAAGCATGAATTCTCAAATCTAAGCCATGGCTACGCAGTGCAAGACAAACACTTGATACACACCTGCCAGTTTCTCTGTATAATGAAGTAATGTACTACAATAATGTGTGAGAATGACAGATGGGTTGAGTGATAGGAAAGAGGAGAGCAAGAAGGGCTGAAGTCTGAAGAGAAAATAATGGAATTTGAGGACGGTTAGAGAAAGAAAAAGGGGCAAAGCTTTAAAACAAGGTAAAATAAGGCTTGGATTTTGAGCCCAAGCAGCTCCTCTACAGCAGGATCTGTCCATCAGAGAGAAGAGGACAATGCCACAAACAGTCCGTAATTCTTAAATGTCCTGGAATAAGACTGGTTAACTGTAAAGAAACTGATCTATTTTGATCAAAAGGACACACTTGATAATTGTTCAGCCTGTATTAGAGATGCACTGATTGCAATTTTCTTGGCTGATTCAGAATTTTAGATCTGACCTGCCGATTCACATTTTTTCTTTCTATAAACTGACAGCAGATTTTTGAAACGTGTCTTGGATGAAAATTTAAGTTGTAGTAAAAATAAAACATTGTATTAAATAAATCTTACATTTTCATGGCCATTAACGATGTTGCTAAAGCGTTTTACTTCCAGGTACAAATATATAAATACATTAGTAAGCATCACAACTAATTAAAAATCATTTATATAGGTAGTTAAGTAAACTATTATAGAATGACAAGAATATGGAAAATTTAGCAATATACACTAGAAAAAATATAAATCAAGAAAGTGGCAGAGAAAACTCTGGGATCTGTTTCAGGTCAGTAGTTAAAGATGAATTGTGTTGTGCTGGTTGTCTCTTAGGCTGTGACAAGTACAGACAAATATTACAGCTAATATGGAGCTGGCTCTGTTTTCTCCTTGTATGTGCTGTCATTCAAGTTGATCAGGAATTGAGTCAAAGTCTGGGATTTTACATTTATTTGTGCAAAAACCTTTGTTCTTATATGTTTGTAGGCGTTACAATTGTGGCCGTTCAGAGACTTTGGAGCAAAATAGTTCGGTCTGAAGTTTCATACATTGAGCTGGACCCAAAATAAGGGTAGTTGTAATAGTAGTTTCTCAGACCAAGAAATAAATGGTTAATGGTCGATTGTGTTATCTTCTTTATAGCAAAAGAAAAAAATATGATTTCAGTGTTCATGAGGCTTTAAATTTGCGTCTGAAGGCCTGGCTCTCACCTGATCTAGCAGCTATTTGGTTTCAATGCTGGATCAGCAACATGACATCTTATAAAAGCTTTACATTTTTTGTTTAATTAGAGAGAGTTTGATTTTATTTGTCGTTTTTTGCACTATGAATTATGTATGAATGTTAACACTCTGTCATATTTTTTTAGTATATTACTTGTGTGGTGTAGAAGAGAATTATTTACTGCTTGCAAACCAATGATGGTAAGATGATGTCATGGGGTAGGACTGGATAAGTCTGACTTCTTCCTACTCCATTCAAGCATGTACTAGGTATAAGCACATTGATATTGGATTAGCATTTGTTGGATATGTGTAAAATTATGTGTGTTGACATATCAACTGTCTTTACATGCTTGAAAGAATAAAATCAAATCAAAACAAAGGTGTGTGTGTGTGTGTGTGTGTGTGTTTGTGTGTGTGTGAAAGAGAAAGAGAGAAAATAGGCAAAAATAGCTGTGGCACTTGGAGGAGCTCTGCTGCTGTAATTACAGTCAGGTGTTTCAGTCTCTCCTGCCCAAAAACCACTGGCCCACTTACACACACACACACACACACACACACACATTACCTGCCGCAGGGCTTTTAGGTGAAGCTAATGTGCAGAGGGGCAGCTGAAATCTCAGGATTTAAATGAAGGCAGGAGGTCGACGGCAGCCCAGGGTTTGTTTGTGAGGTGTTGAGATTGCTGTTTGGATATTACTGCACTCGCATTAATAAATTAAGGTGTATTATTTTCTATCACTGCATCACCGTGAGACATATAGTCATCTATGATATACTTAGTCTCTCATTCAAAAATAATTTACTGCTGAGCCTTGTGAAATAGCTCCTCTGTAAATTAAAACTGAGAAAAGGCAGTGTCTCTCTCCTGCACTTAATTTACTGTGCATTTCCTCTTTGGCTCTCTTCCAGTTTAAAGCCAGACTGTCCACAACAGCTCTAGATACTCAGGTACCACAATCACTCGCACATACAAACACTGACTAATGATTTGCAGTCTGAAGGCAATATGCCCTACTTTGAGACAGGTACCATTTAGTGAAAAGGCTTGTCTGATGTTAATCATCTTGTCCTATTTGCTGATACCTGTGCACAACATTTTAATCAGCTCACAACAGAAAATAACATAAAATGAATGTTCAACCACAGGTTAATTTTTCAAAATCAGTTCTTCACAAAATGAGTCAGCAGGCTGGCCCAGAATGGAGGCCGATAAAATGGTCTGCATGCTGTCAAACTGCTCTTTCATTTTGGGGACTGCAAAAATAATAGAAATGTCATTATCAGCCATTGACCTCACGCTGGTGCTGTTTTCCTCTGAGAGACTGGGGTCGTAGGTGGCAGATCAATAGATGACTGTGTTCCTTATTTCTGTAATAGTACGTGATTGTGTCTTCATCTTATAGTTGATCGGTGTCAGCAATTTAGCCCCCTGTCTATGTTTATGAAGATGGATGTCAGAGTTCAGCAGTGTTGCCGTGTTGTTCTGCAGGTCACATTTGTAGCCTAAACATCCTCTCTGGGGCTTTTTGTTTGAGGTTGTCAGTCTTAAATCCAGCTGATTGTTGTGCTCTTTGCACTTAGAAGTCATTAGTGCATACATACTGTATGTTTTAATAACCCCTCTGTGTATTTCACAGTAATGGTATTAGCCATACAAATAGAGTTTCGGCATCTTTAGAGGAAGCAGAAAGGGAGGATGGTTACATTTGTTGTGAAACAGAATACAGATATTGCAGTTTTTTTCTTTGTTGTTGAATTCAAGCAAAGCTGACATTATTAAGGCTGAAGCCTCAGATCACTCAACATGAATAGATATTAATTTCATGGCAACTCTGCTTTTTTATCGGTACATAATATACATAAGTTGTCTCAGTATCCACACTCCAAGGCTGTGTCACAAGTGAATGATTTTTGTTATCAGTTCCTTTCATATCTTCTAGTCTAGGGTGAGAAGGAACGGGCAAGTGGCTCATGGCTATCCACCCATCTTCAAGGCTCAGCAGAAACACGACAAAGATGAAGACGAGGAAGAAGATGAGGCCACGTCTGTGTCTTTGTCATTGGCAAGGAAACGAGCAGTGAACCTCAGGGACGCCGGAGGGAAGTCTCCGCTGTGTCGACCCAGCCAGAAGACCGTGGAACAGAGCTACAGGAGGTCTCTCCAGGAAATTAATCTCACCACTTTAGACCCTTCCAACCTCAGCTCCAGGTGGGTTTGACCACCACTGATTGTGTGTCTGGCTCTGCAGGCCTGCGTCTCTGTGACTCAGTGTTACGTGTATTTTTGTCATTGTTTTACACAGTGGTACAATCCATGGGTGAGTCAGAAGTGACAAATGATATTTGGATGACCTTGTTTATTAAACCTTGTCACAGCACAGAAACAGAAGTTTCAGTAGAAAGGACAACTTCCATGAATGGGGATGAGGAAGGGGGATTATGCTTTGCAATGGTCCTCTGTTGATGTTGATGCTTAGTTACTGTTTGGGGAAGGCTTCTGAAGAATCTGCACAGATGGCAGATCCCAAATGTGGAAGCAGAAAAACAGTAGAAAGATGGAGGA